TCGAAAACAAATATCGTCATCGATACCGTCAGTCGATACGCCCGCCATTGCGCCGAGGAAATGCAAACAAAAGATCCAACCTTCAGATAAGGACACCATAGATCACGCTGGGCTGTAAGGGTCGCTGCTTGCTCTTGTTTACGAGCCACGTTTCCTCGACGTAATCTTCATCTTCGGCGACCTGTGGATGATACACTGGATTAGCCTTCAAACGCCATTTCATTTATGCTTGCAGGGATTTGGATAGTTGCTTGTTTCTATAGCTGGAGGGTGAGTTGGATCGTGGATGGAAGGATCTACTTTGGCGAGTTTGAGGTTGTTTCGCTTCTGGAGATTGATTTTAGACAATGTGCTTTAGACGATGATATCGGATTGGATATAGGGTTCTTTTTCTAAGTATTGTAGATGATTTTTGGTTCGTCGTGTGATCAGATATTGACTGTTCTAGGGTGTACGACACAAAGTCCCTAAGGATGGTTCAGAAAAAGTTCCCCTTAACAACTAACCAGTCTCTAATCCCATATAGTAACTGATAGCACTAAGTATAACTCGATATAAAATCCATTTGTTAGAATTCTACATACAGGGTGATCCAAAAACTCTGTCCACCTTGATCATCACCGTTATTTGTTACAAACGAGACAATATATACGCCTAATCGCTCAATGGAATCCTCCTATTGTTTATATTTAACAAAAACATCATCAAAAATAATAAATAAAAGTCAAAAGGATCCAAGGAATCTACAAACCCACTTCAAAGCCCACGAAATAGTAAATTTTGAAAATTCACGGACTTCAATCGCGATGATCGGCCTAGCAACAGCAAGGCGAACAAGCAACAAACGCACAATACACGCGATCGGAGATCTCGAATGGGATGTTGGCCGTGCGAGCAAGTGCAAACGTAAACCGGACGAATAAACACGAAAGAGCTCGCGTGCAAAAAGGAAATGCAAGGAAGCAGAGAGGAAAAGAGGAAAAGGAAGGATCACCGATGAGAAAATAAAAAAAGAGGGAAGAAAAAGAGGGAAAAGGAGGAAAAAGGAGGAGAGGAAGAAAATAGCCACGAGACAAAAACGACAAGGACTCGTTTCAGAGCCTGGAGGCAAGATCCGGCCAAGAGAGTTTTCCGTCTGGCGCTGAGGACGATCTAGGAATGCGGAGCGAGAGCACTATTAAGCACGTAGAAGGCAGCTGGGCCCGTAGATAGATCCTCTCCACGGCAATCACCTGCTGGGTGGTCCGACGGATCGCCACGGGCCATCTCTCGTGTAACTCCCTCGTATGTTCGTATTAAGTCATTTTCCCGCATGGTCGTCTGGTCGTGGCGGTGCCCCGCTCCGTCAATAAGTCCCCGGAAGGTGGATCTGCTGGAACGAGATCGAATTCTTCGCGGAGAGAAACCGATCTGTCGTCGCGTGCGCTCGCTCGCTGCCAGTCCCGTCTTCCCTATGCAAACTCGCGTTCCTGGCTGACGTGCGTGATCGTGTGGGTACCTTGTGTGGGAGAGGAACACGAGAGGATTGCAGCTGTCAGACGTGCAATGGGAAGTGTCGCGCGAAAGGTATTTGCGTTTGTGTTGTCACATGTTTGTGCAGTGGACTTTTTAGAAAAAATCGGAAAAATCTTTGGAAAAATAATAATATTCGACATTTGTTATTCGAATTAACATAATTTTTCGATTCATGTAATTTTCTTTTTGAGAGTGAGAAAGATAATTGAATTATATTTTTATTCGTGCGAGTATCATTGTTAATTTCAAGAATAATATCATAGATTTCTTGCTCCTACTTGTGTGAATTTTTTAAAATGTTAAATTACGTTGGATGACAATTTTCTTTCGTTTTAATCAACCTGAATACCTCTCCTTGCGAATGCAAATAATATCAGTATCATTCACTTTGCTATAATGAAATTTTTAAGAAGCGAATTATTTTCCGTATAATAAATATTCTACATTTTAAAAGAACAATATGCCTCAACGTAAAATACCGATATAATCTACTATAACGTCCCAATTTAAATTGCAAATTGAACCAAAGTCCTCCGCTATTATAAATCGATGATAATTAAATCAGTGATGACGAAGATAATTATTCAAACAAGAATATCCCGGATAAATTCTCCGGGCAGACAAATATAACACGATTGAAATATCCTGTCAAGAATTCCATCGAATAGTAATCTGAATAGATACCAGACTCTAATCCGGGCTCTAATCCGGGCTCTAATCCTCCAAAATACGATCCTAGAGCCACGGGAACCCGTTCTAATGAAGCCGTAAAGATCCCACGCGACAATGTCCCAAAGCTAACCGCCATATTTCAATCGCGACTTATCGATGTCGTTAAGTTACAAAATTACAAAATTCCCGGCAATCCATCGGCATGGTTGGCCCGCATAGCACGGCCAAAATCGCCTATGGTGAGGTTCGCTTACTGGGAGTGCCAGACGTTTCGTAATGGGGCGAAATTCGTGCTTTTAGTGGCGGATAATGAAAAAGCAGGGCGCACGTAATGCGGTCGAACGCGGCGAAGAATCGATCCCTAGGGATCGACGACGGCTCGTTAACGAAAGGGAAGATCGACGTAGTGTTTAGAGAAACCGGACCTCGCTGTCGGTATCGATCCTCGATCGCTTCATCGCCACGAGCTCGGTCCAAACGGAGGCTCGGATCGTGGTCTAATCTTACAGGATGCTGCCAGCTATTTCGATACGGTCATTACTGATTCATCGGCGGCCAAATCGGCGAATTTTTTGGGAAGCGAGGTCGAGGTCAGGTTTCAAACCTTTGCACTTGCGAGGCGACCCACAGTCACCATTAATCAGATTCTAGAAATCGATGTTAATTGATATATCAAATTTCAAATTACCCAACAATGGAATGTCGAAGTGAAATAATTTTACGTCTCAACTTGCATACGATTTCTTATTTACATTCGTTTTAAAAATATCGTCGACTTTATGGCAGAAAGTTCGATTTACTATTTTTCTGCGACGAAAAAATCGCCAAGTGCAAAGAGTTAACCCCTTTGAGATGACAAATTTTCTGTTATAAAGCTGATGATATTTTTTGAGTAGTAAATACGAAATCGTATAATAATTGACAAGTAGAATTATTTAATTTCGAGCTTCGAAATTTCATATAATCAAATGGCGACAGAAGGGCGCCTCTCGAGTGCAAAGGGTTAATAGAGCTGGTTAGAGTCTAGCTCTTGTTTTGGGTGTGAAAGATATTTATTGCAGACTTTGATAAGAAAATCATCGTGGTTTCGTTCATTATGTATATTTATTATCAATTGATTTACTTAAGTGTTTTAAATAGCGTGAATTTTATAAGTTGCTTTTTGTGTTTCCCTATGTACCTTCATTTCTTTTACAACCATACTGAACAAGTTTCTATCATTCGTTTATGTACCTACGTTTCGTTCACTATCAGTCACATCAAACTTTCAAATCTAAATTAACATCTCTATGATCAAACCAAAGTGTTCATTCTCAAACCTAAACCAATATCTTCGCAAGCAAACCTGTTTAAAGCACTCATTTATACATCTATTCTTCGTTCACAACTAATACATAATCCAAGCAAACCAATCACTCCCAACTTTCAAACCTGAACCAACATTTTCATATCCAAACCAAACCTGTTTGATGCATTCATCTATACACGTACTCATCGTTTATAACCGATCTATACTTCAACTAAACCAATCACATCCAGTTTGTAAACCTTAAATTACTATCCCTATAATTAAACCAAATGAGTTTTAATTATTCATCTATACATTCAAGTTTCATCTACAATCTTATCCAACTTCCAAACTTAACTCAATATTCCTATAATTAAATCAAGCAAGCTATAATTATTCTTCTATACATCCAAGCTTTACCTACAACCAAAGCAATGGCATCCAACTTTCAAATCCAAAGCAACATCCTCATACCAAACCAAACCTGCTTCACTCACTTATCCACACATCCACTGTTCATTCACAATCAACTCACTATAAAATTTAATCATACCTAATTCTCCAATTTCGTCCAACGTTTTTACGACCAAACCAAACCAAACCAAATGAAATCAAACTAAATTAATTATATCCAACTATATCCAACTTAATCATTTCTCGACTATATAGAAGACCTCTACACACCTATACTCCATCCACACGCGACCAATCCAACGGAGCAAAACGCACCACCCCATTCCAGAAAGCTCTCGCATTAGTCATGCAGACATTCTCACAAATGCGAGAGATAACGTTCGATTGGAAAAGACACCCGATCGCGGATGCAAGCGCAGCTGTTAATAACGTCATGCTACGAGCAGGCGTAATTACTCGCATTATCGGCGCGGCGCATTGGGAATGCGGGTACACGTGGGCGCGATAGAGACGAAGAGGAGAGGAGAGGAGAGACGCGTACGTTGGTCTGACGTATTTATCAATAAGCTTATTAATGACGCCAGCGGCACGGCCGGGGTTCCCGATTGGACGCGAGGCTATATAATTACTCGAATGAACTCTAATTACGCGAACGAACGCTAATTTCTCAGTGCCTCTCGAGCCGGTGTCGCGAGGTGTGGGCACCATCTTCGGCGATCTTTAATTGAGACGCGCTTCCCCCTTCCAATCACTGTAGAACTAATTCGAAATTGAGGAATTAATAGCCTTTTTCTCTCGTTTTCTGTCGTTACTTCGGATATCTCTGTTATGCGAAAGATGAGAGGATATGGTGAGGTTCAAGGTTCTCCGGATGAGTGAAATTATTAGATCTTGTGAGAATAAAAGGTCTTCTAAAAGTATGAGCGAACTTATTAGATCTTCTAAAGTCTCTAGATCTTTTAAAAAAATTGCAAATAAAATTAAAAATAAAAATACATGAAAAGATAGTAGGCAGCTTTGAAGAAGCTTTAGCTAAAGAAATGATATTCGTAGTTTCGTTTATATTAATATATGAATATTTTCTTTATTCGTTATGGTTTTATTGTTTCAGGTGAGTGTCACTTCCAGTAGTATCATAAATCTACTTTAACAGATGGGCAAATATCAACGACCTTTCGAGTAAGTATTCGCAAATATAATAAAATTGTACTTCAACGCTGTATCATGTGTACCCGAATAAATTGTGCATAATTGATGTTAATTACAGTGGTGTAATAAAATAAAGAAGATCACGTTATTACGATTTTATGTGAATGAGAATCAATATTAATTTTGCTCAAAGCACTTGTGTATTTTCAGCAACTGTAAAAATAATAGGTCTGAGACAAAAAATATCGACTATCCTGGCACTTTTAGTGCTAGAAAACAACGCAGCCCATGAAAAATTTATATTTACTTATAATAAAATACGTTTCCTATTTTTCGATGAATTTTTGGTATTAAAAATTTTTGGAAAGGCTATGAAAAATATAAAAAATAAGGCGGAGTGAAAATGAGGTCGTAATAGGGAATGAGTTTGGTTTGTGGGGCAAACTTTAGCCCAGTGATCTTGAAAGGGTTCGTACATGGCTTGGGGCACCATGTTCGACCGACGAAGAGGAACAAGGGTTTCTTTGATCGTATCTGTGTCGACATGCGTCGAGACGCGTTGCCTCGCTTTAACGCGTTTTTTCCAAGGTGCATCCAGTCCCGTGCACCACCCTGAAGAGGTGCATGCTTCGAGAGGCACCTCATTTGCATATGACTCTGGATGTAGCTTTGTTTCGAGGTGTCAGTGATTTTGTAATTGTCCAAATGAAGGTTGAAAGGTATTTAATCTTTTTTTCCTCATTAGAATTAAACAAAAATGGTATGGAGAATGGATCAGTGACTTGAAAAACTATATTTTTTCTTTTTACTTTTTATTTTTGGGAATCCAAAATATTTTTTTTTTTTGCTACTTGGAATTAAATAAAAATATTATGGAAAAGAGATCAATGATTTGAAAAGAACATATTTTGCATAATATAAATATTTTAATATCTAATATCAACAATATTCCCCACTACATTATAAATGTCAACGTGTACATGTACTATATAATTGCACGATTTTTAAATCACCAGAATCATATCGTATCCCATATATCAAAATTCCTATTGATTATAATATCATAATATAAAGTAAGAATAAATATATTATTTTATAATAATACTAGCTGTCATCGTTCTGTTTTAGAAAACAGAAAATTAAATTTCTATTTGGATAACCATGTTGATAAAAACTGATAAAAAATTCCAAGCTAACAGTAAAAATCGAGGAATAAAAGAATAAACAGAAGAATTTTTAACTTCGAATTTTACAATTCAAAGATTACATATTCAATATTACATACTTGCATATTTAAGTATTATATTAACTATACTATACTATACTAAATATTAAATATTGTATTTAAATTTACTCGCATACCTAAATTCAACATCCTCCTCTTCAAACCACAATTTTAACCGCACACATAGTCTCCCGGCTGCAGTATACTTCGGTAAACTGAAGTTTCAATAATCTTAAATCTTAACATCCACGATAAATAATAAAGGAACCGTTGCCGTGGAAAAAATCAGTTTCATCAGAAAACAATTTGAAACGCGTATCGCGAGGGGTAATTTATACACTGCGGTACAGCTTATGGTACGATACCGGAAGATCGAACACGGAAACCATATCTCCCAGCCCCGCCTCCTTATTAATGAAATCGTAAGATCAACCAAGCCCAGCTTTGGTACGACCGGTATTTATATGATATAAAAATTAATTCCATCTTGTTAAACGACCCACAGAGTAGTCGGAGCTTCTGTCTCCTAGAGTGATACCGATGCACCTGCGGTTGGATATCGCTCTGGCCTCTTCCTACGTAATAAGAAGGTCCCTATCGCGAGCTAGGAACGCGATCTACGGATCGATATTGTCGCTCAAAGTAATCACGATTCCGTGAATCTTTTTTGAACCGTGTATCGAGGAATGTAAGTAGATAGGCCTGTTTCGCTTTGTAACTGTTATAGGGGATAAATTACTATAGCAATACTGCAACAGTAATGATTTTATTTGGTAAATGTCGATTCAATTTTTATTTTTTCGATTTTTTTTTCCTTTTTTTTTTTTTTTTTTTTTTTCTTTTCAGAATATTTATTATGGCTTGTTGCATATTTTTGAGTAATTCTTTTGGTTTCGAATATTGGAGGATTTTTGAGTATTTTTGAAGTATTTATACAGAAACCTAAACGTTTCAATTATATTTTAATTGCACTAAGTATTCTATTAATTTCACAATAAAAGTAGAACGAAAATAGTGGATCAAAAATTAATAACAATTTTTGCCATAATAAATGCATAATGTCTACAAGAATTTAAAAATTTTTTTAAATAAAATTTTATATTTAACAATGTCATTTACTTGCACAGAATACTTGTGTATGCAAAATAACGAGGTGGTTTGAAGAAGAAATATACAATTTTATTTTTAAAAAAATGGATTATCCCTTTGCATAATGCATATGCATCGTTACTCGTAAGAAAAAGTGATCCCTGAAAGGCAGTTCTGTTTGAATCATTCGCGTCTTCCCTCCAACATCTTCCTCTGATTGCCAACCTGTATATATGAATATATTACACGAAATATACTTATTATACACTATACCTGCTATAATTGTGTACTAAAACGAATTAAAAAGATTAACGACTTTTTTTCACCTCGGTAACTACCACACATTCGGCCTTCCATTAAATACGAGATGAACATAAATTTCTTTCGTCGATCATCTTTGGTTTAATCGGGAAACCGCCAATTCCATTATCAATTAATACATTTCCGTTCGATTCTATTAATATATATATAGCCACATACAGCACGTGCGACATCCATATAGGCACTTATTACGGTCCCTTCTTTTATTTCAATTAATTACTTTTTTAATGCAATTAGCGAACGTCGTATTAACTGTTTGATTGGCTTATTAGTTCCACCTGGCACAGGAGCATATTATCGTGTATTGCAACAAACACCTTAATATTGAACCTACCATAAATCTATCATGAACTAAATCTAGAAATAGATCTATCACCTATCACTAGACATGAATCTATCATCAAACGCAACGCAAAATTTTATTCCATTTTTAGATTTTTTTAATCAACCACGTACCTATATATAATTACACATTTTTTTTCAAATTAAATTAAAATACAAAAATTTTTTCTATGCGTTATGTATAAAAATTTGGAAGACTTCAGGTTTAAGTATACTCAGAACCTCAAACGATTAAGCCTGTTCCCAATAATAATAAAATAAAAATTGAAAATGCATTAGATATACATGTACTGTAGATTTGTATCTGTAGATTTCGACTTATTCAATTATCCCAAAGTTTTAGAAGCACCCCATAGAGAGACACAAAGAAATAAACCAATTACCATTAAATACCAGACAATCTCGAATAAACTCTCGATAGACCCGCACATCGATCTAACCTCTCAACCTCGGTACCCTACTCTAACCCAATTCCATCAGCAATAATCTACCCACTACCACAAGCACATAATAAAAAGAGAAGCCATCTCACCGACCGCGACGTAAATCCGAGCCATCGCCATCGAACATCTCCGTAGCGCCATCTTCATCCGCTCTTTCCTCGTAGAGCTAGCGTAATGGTCCCTCAGCGTCTAGCCATCAAAGTCCCAACGCGTGATTCATGGCTAGGCCCGGCTAGCGCGCGTCGAGTTGCCAAACACTCGAGTGAGAAACACAGGCAGGTGATCTCATCGCGGAAGTATAGCGAGGATTTTGTATTCCGGACGTGTGGGCTCTATAAAACTAACCGTGCCCACGCGGTCTGTCCATTATGTGCGGCGTCGTTCGCCGCCAGATACTCATCGTCACGTAGCCAGGCCACCTGTGCCACCATGAATATCCCATAAAATCGCCTTTTGCTTTTCTCTCGGACCTGCCGCCCTGGGAGTGTCAGCCTTCGCCGGAGTCTCTGATTCCCTGGAAGAGAAACAAAGGCATCAGTCGACGAGTTTGGATCTTGGCTAGCGTAGCCGGGGTTCACCCAGTGCCGAGAGGGAACAGGTTCGGATTTCGGAAAAATCTGCCCGATTTATGATCATTGACGACGACTGCCGACCGGTGGAACAGAATAGATCGTGAGGCGTGGTCGTGGGATCCGCGATGTTTGCCGCGAGGACGGCTGATATTTATTAGGTAGCCAGGATAGATCGGGTGAGCTCTGTCTTGCTGCTTCGATCATGTGCCAGGGATTTCGAAATGCTGGAGTTTATTGGGATGAGAGACGGGTCGAGAGATGGATTTCTTTGGCAGTGCTCATCTTTTTTACCGTGATAAAGTTTATACGTTGAATTATGTCTTATTTTTATATCGGATTTTATAAATTAATGGTGGCAATTACTGGGGTGAATTTCTGCAAGAAGAATTTCTTCGAAAATTTTTTGAAATTTATTGAGATGTTAGAGTCGCGGTATTTTTGAATTTAATATAGAAATTTATTATTATATTTTGAGGGAGATGTTGGAATGCACATGAGTGTAGGTTTCTCAGAATGGTAAGGAAAAATGACACTTTTGTTTATTATAGATTACGTGATCCAGATTAAATATTAAATTAAAATATATATGTACAGATATTTATAGACTTCAAAAATTGACAACTATTTGCTGAAAAATTAATTAAATATTTTTACTGTTATAAGAGAATATAAAATTAGTTGGGAAGGTAATATAAGAAGAAATTCAATATTCGAGTAAAGAATTAAATTAAAATTAAAATAATTGAAAATTAAATAAAAATAAGGAATCAAGCTTAGAATTACACTACTGAAACTACCGATTTGTAATGTCTACATAAACACGGTGAACATAAACGATATTAATTAAAATAATACAATGGAGATAAATATGTGTAAATAATTAGCTCCTATCTGAGGAAGAATCGATATTAATTTTGCAAAAAATAATTCCATAAATAATTTGACAATCTTGATAATTCTAGTGTTAAAAATAGCAAAATTTATTTTCTTATTAAAACGAGACAAAGAAATACTAAAA